AACCATCGATTTATGCAGTGAGTGTTGGCCCAAAAAATCAAGGTGTCATCTGCGTATAGGATCTCAGAGGAGTATATTCCATGAATGGATTCCACTTCCGTGCATTTCACTTTGAACTGAGGGTTCGAACAAAAGCTCTTTATCAAGTTGTAGATTCTAGGGGGGACTTTTAATCGTCTCAGTGTTTCCAGCATCTTGTCATGCTCAACTTTATTAACCGCTTTTTCCCCAATCCAAAGTATCAAGGTACTGTGGCTTTTAGACTTTTCTGAAATGTCTTGCAATCTTCTTGCTGCAAAAGTTGCTTGACTTGTGCTCTTGCCTTTTCTGAGCGCATATTGAGTTGCCATGAGCCATCTGTTTAGGCCTTTATCAAGACGCTCTTTTATCAAGGCTGCTACAAGTTTATAGCAGTATGCAATGTATGGTGTGTGTGTGTGTTATTCGGTGCTACGCTTCTTCAGTGTAAGGCCGCTCAGGCCGATCGGATGAGGGGTGGCTGCATTCCTGCGTTGTTGGTTAGGTAGGACAGAGGTGGCAAAGGCTGACGGAGCGTCGCGAAGCGCGTTGACAGACGTGAAGCTGCAGGTGCCCGTGGAGCAAGCCGATGTATTGTCATGTCTTTAGGCTACCATATGTGGACATGCAATGTGCTTGCGGTCATTTCAGTGACAAGTTACGACATGACATGATAGACTGACGATGCAACTTTGGAAGTATTAGGCAATGCTTTCTGCCGTTACTTGCCACAGTTTTGTAGAGCGCTCCCTGGCTTGCGCGGGTTTCTTGTAGGTTCTAGGAAGTCGGCACTTGCCGAACACAGCAGCCGTGCACCTGGCTAGATCGGCAAATGCTCCAGATCTGGATATCGGACTCATGCGCGGCATCAATCCCACATCTCGCTCTCATCCTCCGGAAAGGCTTACCAGTTTTACCAAAAAGTTTGGGCTGCAAAGGTTCCCCGCCGTGAAGTCCAGGTACTCTTCACCTTCCGGGTCCTTCATGGCACTTGGCTGTTTGGAGCTGTGCTGGTGCTCTTGGGATTTGGGGAGTGCCAAACTGCTGCGTGGCTTGTTGCGAAACTGTAGGATTTGGCTTATCATCTGGGAGTTGCTGATGCCGTTGCGCTTCCTTCCCACCCCGAGTCGAAAGGCTACGGATCACCATCCAAGCCAAACTGATGTTGAACTTCCTCGGAATTCCAGTTCCAGCTTTGCTCAACGTACATGCGACCACAAGCTCAAGCCCAGGTCTCAGAAAGACGGGGCCGGGGACAAATCTACAAAGCACGGGTTGCTGCTACTGTAGCAGACTCAGGAACGACAGGCACAACGCAACAAAACAAGCAAGATAAAGGACAGGAGGAGGCACGTTGCAAACAGGCTAAGGCCAAGGCACAAAGCAAGCACGGCTTGCACAGGCTGTGGTATCTGTCGGGCCCTTCTGCCATGCCGCAATCACAGCACTTCGCATCCCTTCCTCAAGTTTCACAGCCTGCCCCCCCCCTTCCATAACTCCGAACACTCGAACTGGTCGTTTGAAAGGCTCCTTGAGGATGTGGCCCTGACCGGACGTGAATGCCAGTTGCCTCTCCCCATAGTTGTTCAAGAGGTTCCTGGGTCGCTGGAAGGCGGTTGCAAAAGTAAGTACTGATTCATGCATGTCTATTCAAGAGGGCCGGCCGGTTGTAAGCTTCGGGTCCCCTCTCCTGTCGAGGAGATCCAGCGCCATGACTCACACCAGTCGGTTTCAGTGCATTGATAGGGAGTGATTCACCGCCCTTGCCGCTCTGTCTGTTCCCACGCCTCTTACACTGCTGTTGCAGCCCCTGAATCTTGATTGACGGACGGGACGCTTCTTGGCGGCTTCACGGAGCTCCGCGGTGGATGCCGCAGATCGTGCAACAACCTTCACACAGCAACAGCACAAGGCTGTTCGGGAACGATGTACGAACTTGTGCAAAAGAGCCCGGTGTTCAGAGTGTTGACTGCAAGCTCCTTGCCTTGCATGGGAGCTTCTGCTAGGGCCGAGCCCTCAACTTGCCAAGAAGAAAAGCAGAGAAGATCGAGCCTGCGCCCGCTCTCAGCAGCCTCTGCTGAATACCAGTACTCGAGGTGACAAGCCTCTGAGTCCTCAACCCAGATGCCATTCCCAAAAATAAGCAGCCTTCGCTCGCCGTCCGGCTGCTGCCAGACCAAGCACCTTCGCTGGACAGCTAGTTTGACAAGTGGACGATCCCCCTCTGCTCTCTTCGCACTCCGCACTTGTGGCCGGAAGCCGTTTAATGCGCGTCTAAGTCAGCAGCATAAGTATTTTAGGCTGTGCTGCTAAATACTGTCTCCTGCTGGCTGAGGGATTTCAGGGGAGACCCAGGATCCTAACCCTCCCACATCAAGGTCACTGCGAACCAGAGAGATCGTGGACTGAGATGCAACATCAAATTGCAGGTTGGCTCGGGTTTGGACGCTGGCATGTCGTTCCCATGCCAAGGCCTTAATAGGAGGCCTGAGTCTCATTTGTCCTCTTCTGCCTCTTACAAGTAAGGTCCTCGACCTCGACAATGTGCGAATCCTTAAGCCCGTGGCCAGGAAGACTGAACCTCGAGACCAGTTCTGCAGATCCGAGAGATGCGCTGCGGCGAGGGTCGCTTTGCTGGTCGATGGGCCGCTGGTATCCGTCTTTGTGTTCCTGCGGGGTGGCGGGACTTGAGAAATAGCATCAATCTGCCTACTATGAGTTACTGACTGCCAGTGAGCCAGTGTTCAAAATTACCACCGTATCAAGTTACAGAGATGACCACGCAAGAGGTGTCGAAACCATTTCCGGGGTGACGTGACAGGGAACTGCATGCAAGATTCGCATGCCCGGCTGATCGAGACCTCTTCAAGACCTGGCGATTTCGAAGACCGTGCCACATGGTTCCCAAAGTCACGACAAGAAGCGACACGTGCACTCTACATGTGCTGCTGCTACGAGTGCAACCGCTGCTTACCGGCATCTGTCGCTCTTCCTGTGTACTTCGCACGAGCTTGTAGAAACCTACTTTCCGTAGTTGTTCAACTGTTCAACCCAAGCTCTTGTCGGTGTCCGATAACACCCATGCATTTCCTCAGACTTGCCGCGCTGCGAGGGACATGATGCTGGCCTAACGGTGGGAAAGTCCCTGAACTACTGAGTCGACTTAGTCTACCTTTGCCGGAAGCTCGAACTCTTGAAAGAGGACCAAAGGAAGAACCCCACGGGCTCTGCAAGGCTCCGCCCGAGCTCCTGCTTCCAGTTGGAGCAGCATAAGGCACGGCGCTCGCTGGGTGAACCCACGAAGCCGGGGCCGCCAAGGCCATCGTGACGGAAAAGGGGTGAATTGGGAGATACGAGTACGACACATGAAAAAGACCTCAAAGTCTTTGGCACGGCATTTGGCTATGAGACACACGTACACATGCGAGTAGGTCCCCAAGACAGGCTCGTCCTATGCATGCTTCCTTGGTTGCAACAGGGTCCCCCCGCTGCAAATGGCTGATGTTTCAGAAAAACAGTCCATTACTGCGCGACAACAATCGACAAACACCTTCATTCAGAAGGCAGGCCAAAGATCCAAGCAGCATCTTATGTTTTTGCTAGATTCTGTGAAAAAGGACACTTCAACACCTGCCCACGCCATAAGCTACTTCTCTAGCCTTCTGACTTGCTGATGTTGACCGCCGCAATAACATCAAACCGCTGCCCCGACCCTGAGTGCTGTGAATCTGGGGAAACGAGCGACGCTGTCACAGACACCAGCCCGGAACGGTCAGGCTCACAGTACCCCACACTACAAACAAGCCTTGCCAGTCCTAGACCTCTCAGCATGGGCGACTGCCAGCCCGTTTTCCAGGATGCTGCTCCTCCTCTCCGTCCCGTCGGAAATCGTTAAGCACCCGACTGTCCACAAAGAATCCAGACAAGAAGGCTGGCCTCGTCCGTACCTCTGAGATCCGAAAAACTGTGGGGCGAATGGCACACAAGACCGCGGGATAAGTTCTGCTTCCTCGCGCGCTTCCCCGTTGCTTGAAATTTCAGGCACAACGAAACGAAGTTCAACACATGCCGATGTTCGAACAATCTATGGACGTATCTGGGATGCTCATACAAGGCCTCTGTGCCACGGCGATCTGCCAGGGGTTATCGTGAGTTTGCCTGGCGGCAAGCGGAGTGACTGGCCATACACGGCTGCGATTCCAACTCGAAGTTGCCAAGTAAGCGGCCAGTGCAACACGGACACAGATTTTTTCGAACTTCTATCGTGGCACTTGCCAACTCGGAGGCTCTGTGGTGAAACGCGGGCACTTAAGGGCTCCTCCTGGGGCTCCATCGGCCACAGTCCTTCGAACATGTTGAATAGCCAGAGACCTACTCCAGGCTCAACACGGCCAGCCGGACCTGTAAATGTGAGTGTTCTCTAATTTTCCATAGAATGGAACTCAAAGCATTGCAACCACAATCATCGGGTCTGCCTCAGAATCGCTTTCCGCCTTTTGAGCGAACGGAAAAGGAGACAGACAAGGCGAACTCAACGAGACTGGGGCCTGAGTCTCTCGAAGAATATCTTCCGCCGTCTTGCCCCGAGAATTCCGAATGTCCAAGCGGGCACCCGCCTCAAGAAGGATCGGGGTAGCTCCAAACTTGCCAGTCATGATGCTGAACATCAGCGGTGTTCAAAGCAGAGGAGCTGAAAGAGTGCCTGAGCGACAGCCCCTTCGAAAGCATCCAACAAGAGCCAAACCCCGGAGGAATCGCAAGCTGCTCATTGATGTCTGCTGAAGCTTTGATCAGAGAGGAGATCGTGTCGCCATCGCCGACCAAGGCAAGAGCAAAATGCAAGCTGAGTCGCAAGCTGACCGGAAAGTATTTCATGATTTCCTTCATGCTCTGCAGGCTGTCAAAACAGCAAGCGAGCTTAAAGGCACTTGCGCCCGGGAAAGCCCTCACTCTTGGATCGATGCCCGCCTCACAAAGGATTCTTACTGCAACAGCGTTGTTGTACACTGACAGAAGCTGAACAGGACTTTGTTGCTGCTGAAGATGGAAGCGATGGAAAGGACCGAGCTCTTTTTGCTGATGTGGGCATCCTCCACGAGAATACCCTCTCCAGTTCATCTCCCAAGATTGGTCTGTCAGTCGTCGGAGGCGTTCGGCGATGCACCAACCGCTGTGCTGTCTTGGCTGAATATTGCTGGGACCCTTCGACCTCACAGGACCGTTGCGAGCTTGAGGGCTGCGAACTTGAAGTCGTAGTCGTAGGGTAGGAACTGGACTCCTGGCTTACATGTTGATTGCCGTGTCCCTCAATGGCCACGGCGTGGGGCCCGTGTTAAATCGCAAGTATACGTATATATCCCCGTGTCAGACACTAAAGGTTGGAGTCTGTCAGCATTACGGCAATGTTGCTGGATGTCGCTGTCAAGTGAACGCTGGGCCACACCTCTGCTTCTCGGAAGGATGTCGACAGGACAGCGAGGCATGTGGAAACGGAAGGAACGCGGGCAGAAACAAACAGCAACTTCGAGCAAACGACTGTCAAGCTAGATAGCACTACACAACTTTCAAAACGAAGGACTTCCTCTCCGATGCGGTGACCCGTCCTTCTTCTCTTTGGTCGCGACCTCATTGGCATCCGCCCTGCTCTTCAAAAGCGATTCCACCAGAAAAGTGTCATCTCTCAGAACTGCACAACACATGGGGGACCACCCGTCTTCGTCCCGGTCCTCGATATTCTTGAAGCCATTATCATGCAGGAACCTAGCTACCACAAAGCCAGCTGGATCTGTAAAGGGGTCAACCTCCGTGGAAAAATTCGGCACGACATTATACGTGGCATCCACCCCCGTGCCTGCCAGGTATTGATGTTGGAGGTTCAGCATCATTCTGTATTTCGGGTATTCGCGCTTGATGAGGAAGGCGTGCAGCTTGCTCCAGATCATTCTACTGATGACTGGCCCCATCTTCTCTTCGTCTTCCTGAAAGCTGAAGGATCCCTTTCCAGGAGCAGCGCTAATCCCACCCAGTTGCCGAACCAGGGCGGGCCTTGAGGCAACCTCCACAGAGATGGTGTAGCCATCCGTGCGCGTCAGGTCCCGAGCAACCCTTTCCAACCTGCACACTGTGCCCTTGCTCATGGCTGACGGCAGGGCAGAGGATCAGGAAGAAGAAGCACTGGGAGATGTAAGACGGAATGGACTTAATCGCAAGCTGGCGATCTGCAACAGCAGAAGTGTTCCGGCCCTGCTGGATACAGAAATAATCGTACCAAATATACAACTTCGTTGCATCAAAGTCAGCTGCCGTTGGGCACTTCAGGCGACCAAACCAAAGCTCGATGGCTGGTGAAAGACTACCCCGACTCGCGCCTGACATGATGTTCCTGAGCGTCGTCTGCAATGTCCGAAGCTGCTCGAAACTCGGATCCGGATGCCTGTCACTGAGCCACTGGTGAGACACGAACGCTGCCTTGCCCATGCACTCGTCGAATTTGCAAACCGCACCTCTTTCCAACAGGTCTTCGTGCGTCCGTACCTGCGTCAAGTGTAAAAATGTGGCAGAGGCATTGCCATCAGCGGGAACTTCTCGTCAAGGTGAGCCTGAATCGCAGTGGATGATACTCGGCAGGAGGCTCCATACTGCTCCAAGGCACTGCGATTCATTAAATGAAACGCAGCAACTGCTGAAACACTCCTGGGCCATAAATGCCACGAATTCCGAGTCGGAGCAGCTCGGCAGGCGAAGAAGCACCAAAAAGCTTCAATCGAAAGCGGTCTCCCCATCTGCTGCATCAAGCAACCAGGCACAAACCTCTCACTCCTTATTCACCCTAACAGACCGATCTGCCGATAGCCTCGGCGAAAAGCTGCCCAGCACGCTTTTCGAAGCACTCGGCATCCAAGGCCTCCGACAGAGCGCCTCGCGAGATGGAGACTTCATCTGCAGGGTTGGACAAGGACACTCGCACCGGGCTTTCCAGAGTTACATGTTCTTTAGCACGGTAGGATTGTGTCGTTACAAGCCAGCACCTCACTTCGTGACACATCTCAACCATCAAGGAAAGAAGATTCTTTGCCGTGTGTAGCAGATATAGGCCCTACTCAACAACTCGAGCCGCCTTCCTTGGCCCAGCCCAGTTTAAAGACATGCAAAATGAACCATGCTTGCAGCATTGCATAACGAAACCGGGCCAAGGTGCCCCATCCCTTCGAGACTTGCAGTGTAACCTTGGCGCTGGTGGAGAGCCGCCACAGGTATGTGGTCAGATGCGACACCGCTGCATGTCAGGAGCCACTCGCATCCCAAGCAATCGAGAAACCGAAAACATCCGGAAACTTCGCTTCTGAATGCCCAGACGTGCGAAGCCGTCACACACACGGAATTGAGATGACAACTAAAGTTGACAAGGCCATTAATATCTCTGCGGGAAGATCTTGGGAGAGGAAGATGATCCATACATTGACACCTGAAACACGATACCTGAAGTGATAGATAGACTCACCTGCGAATGTGTAGATCAAACTCACAGGCTACTTCAAGCATCTCACAATCAACCTCGGGACTGACATCGGCTTCACTCTGTACAATGCAGGTACACAATCTGGCGTCCCAGATTGCTTCACGGAGTATCCACAACTGTCTTCGTTGGCAGCAGAACTGTGGACTCC